TTTTCTCTCAGCTACTTTGGTACCATATGAACTCAGGGGGAAGGAATAAGGAAAACTACAATTAAATTAGCAACAGCATGAAAAAAGGCAGTGACTCTTGTGACCATTGGCATGTTAGTGAATAAACTGAGCTACAGCCCTGAATGAGAGAGTAAGTGCAGACAGTGACCAACCTAGACAATCCTGTCCAGTGAATGGTGAAGGCCCTCCCGATGTTCATCGATTTGCTCCAGCAGGCCCAGTAACGTCTCCATTGGAGACTTTGTTATTACTGTGTCTGGCATATCGAATAAGTCACGGGGAGCTTGCCAGGCTCTGCCGTGCGGGCGAGATACTCTTGCCGGGCTCTCCGAGAGGGGCGGAGGAATCGAACTTGGGCTCGGCCATGTTGGCTGCGTGCAAGGCAAACGCCCTACCACTGTGCTATTGCTCCAGCCCAGGTCAAATGTGAATGGTGAAGGAAAATCAAAATTGACTTAGAGTGAAATGAGAAAATTGAGAGTAAAACTGATTTGGAAAGTGCTTCAGTACTGGAAAGAAGTTGATATTTTCATACAGCACCAAACCTAAATAATTTTAAATTTTCATAACACCTAATTTTTGAACGTTTTTATTAAGACTCATGTACCAGACAAGTAGCCTGAACTATTTTTATTTTCAAAGTAGCTTTGTTTACAAGTATTTTGAAAACCAAATATTTGTTTTCTAATGTACACTCTTTAAGGTTTGTGGGGACCAAATGACACTGCTCAGAACCAAATAGCGATCAGCTGATGGGACAGCAACATTCTGGGAGCCAGAGACCCCTCAGCTTCACCAAGAAAGTCAAAACTCTGGCCCATCTGGCCCCAGATGCTCCCATCCTGCATTCCATGCTTCCTCACATGGACCCCACGATGACAGAAGGCCAGACCAGATGCACCAGTCGCACTGACTCCTTGCTCTCATTCCCCATCTAAGAGAAGATAAAATCTCTCTTAGCCTTTCCCAGGGCACAGATCTACCCCAGCCTCACCACTGACTGGTAGGTAGGGGCCACTTGGAAGTGCACCCCAGAAAACTTCCCTTATTTCTCTACTCCATTTTTCTCTGTCCCTTGTTTTGTGCGTTGTGAGGTCTCTGACCTATCGCCTTTCATATCAGACTTTCTTTTTGATCCTACCTGAGATGACTGCTGAGAGCACCTGCTCATCAGTGAGTGAAAGCAGGCACCACAGCGACTAGAGAATGTCACAGACTGAGAGCTTTAGAAAAAGATACAGTTGATTATAAAATGGACATCTATGACTCATAAATCCTGTGAGCTCACCCCATACGATGAGGGGAATGAAGCAAAGAGGTTTTTTAACAGTTAGTGCATGAAACCAGAGTGTCAGATGCCCCACAGAATCAGAGGTTCTCCTGGCAAGCTGATGGAGACTGGGTTGAACCAGCGACTAAAAGGTAACAGAGCACACCAACCTCGCAGAAGCTGCTTTTGCTATAAGAAATAGTTTGAGCTGAAGGTATTTGAGAAAAAACAGGCACAATAGGAAAGAAACATCTGGAACAACAAATGGTCAAAGTCATCAGAAGTGAAGATTTTGTCAACAGAACTGAGCTACCATGGGGCAGGAATGGGTCCTTTTCACTGGGGGAGGGAAGCAGGTTCTCTGGTGCTGAGTGCAGTGTTGGAAATGCCCATGGAAAGTGTTAACAGTACTGTAAACTCTAGGACCTTAATACAGTTGGTTTAATTTGTTTTAAGTTACATACCTTTCCCCATTTCCCAAAGAAACATATGAGTTCTTGCTGAATTCACTCTCAGGAAGCAAGGACAGGACTTAATTACCAGAGAGATCTTCACAGCCTCTAGGCAGACAAAGAGCACTAAAGGGTTTTACATAACAGGCATTTGCTGAACAAACCCTTAGCAGAATCCTGACCATTGCTTTACTAGAAAAAGTAAAATGATACCTTTTTTGAAAGGAAATGTTTTAAATTTATCATTGATTTAAAATTGTGTGGTGGGAGTATGGTACCACCAGCAGGTCAATCTGTACCTGTGAGGCGAGGGCATCAGCAGCCTGATGATGCCTTGAGACTTCCTGATACCCCAAAATTGCTGCTGTGCCTTTGGTCAGACCCCAAAAACTTGGGGCAAAGTTTACCAAGAAAATAAACAGCCAAAAGTTAGGTATGTGGGAAACATACCCACAAAACACCTTAGGATCAGCTATATAATTGGAGACATGGCCTGTTTGGTTCCTGATTGAACTGTTTAATAGACATGATTCCAGAGACTCAGAAACAAATCTCGAAACCCAGCGGCTTTTGGCAGAAATGCATCTGGTCCCTACAGTAGGTTACCGGTGCTGGGCCAACCCAGGTGGGAATAGGTTTTTCTCCCCTGGCTGCTCAGTGACCACCATCCTCCAGAGGCCACTGGACAGTCAGGATTGGGCCCGCAGTGAGGAGACATGCAGGGCCTCACGGGATGGGAGTGGAGCCGGTCCTGTCCTCCCCACCCCAATGAGACCCCAAGTCATCACCCACAAATGGCCTCTCTGGCTCCTGATCAAGCTGCTTAACGGCCATGATCGCAGAGACTCAGAAACAAATCTCAAAACCCAGCGGCTTTTGGCAGAAATACGTCTGGACCATGCAGTAGGTTACTGTCTCTGGGCCACCCCAGGGGGGAAAGGGTATTCTCCCTCCACCTGCTCCCCGTTGGCAGCTCGGTGGCCGTCATCCTCCAGAGGCCATTGGACAGTCAGGTTTGGGTCCGCAGTAACAAAACTTGTTGGGCCTCATGGGATGGGGTGGGGGGGAGTCGGGCCTGTCCTCTCCATCCCAATGAGACCCCAAGTCATCACCCACAAATGGCCTCTCTGGCTCCTGATCAAGCTGCTTAACGGTCATGATCGCAGAGACTCAGAAACAAATCTCAAAACCCAGCGGCTTTTGGCAGAAATACGTCTGGACCATGCAGTAGGTTACTGTCTCTGGGCCACCCCAGGGGGGAAAGGGTATTCTCCCTCCACCTGCTCCCCGTTGGCAGCTCAGTGGCCATCATCCTCCAGAGGCCATTGGACAGTCAAGTTTGGGCCCGCAGTAACAAAACTTGTTGGACCTCATGGGATGGGGGGGGAGTCGTTCCTGTCCTCTCCATCCCAATGAGACCCCAAGTCATCACCCACGAAAGGTCTCTCTGGCTCCTGATCAAGCTGCTTAAAGGCCATGATCCCAGAGACTCAGAAACAAACCTCAAAACCCAGCAGCTTTTGGCTGAAATGCATTCAGACCACACAGCAGGTTACTGTTGCCAGGCCACCCCAGGGAGGAAGGGTGCTGTCCCTCCGCCAGCTTCCCCCTGGCAGCTCAGTGGCCATCATCCTCCGGAGGTTGGACATTGGACAGTCAGGCTTGGGCCCGCAGTGACAAAACTTGTTGGGCCTCACGGGATGGGGGTAGAGCCGGGTCTGTCCTCCTTACCCCAACGAGACCCCAAGACATCGCCCATGAACGGCCACTGTGGCTCCTGATCAAGCTGGTCAATGGCCATGATCCCAGGTACTCAGGAACAAATCTCAAAACTCAGTGGCTTTTGGCAGAAATCCCTCCAGATTTAAGTGTTAAAATTTTGGAATTTCAAAATCACATAGCACTACTGCATCCACACGACATCATATGTTACTTCTAACCAGCAAAAGAACACAAATTGTCTACTGTTGCCTTTTCAGCAGATCTGAGTGTTGGCGTAAAATCTTAAATAATAATGGTGGGTCTGTTGTTGAAATATTGAATGTGATCAAAGTAGAGAGAGAGTAACGTGGAAATCATCTGCCACACAAGTAGGGGGAGGTTTTGCGATGCGGGTATACTGGGGATTTTGGTAGTGGAGAATGGGCACTGGTGAAGGTACGGGTGTTTCATTGTATAACTGAGACTTAGACCCTTATAACTGCTCTCATGGTGATTCAATAAATAAAATTATAAAAAATGAAAAAAAATTAAAAAATAAAATTGTGTGGTATTTCTGGAGTTTTAGTTTTAATCATCTATATGTGCGCAGGTGTTACCTCTTCCACAATTATTTTTTTAAAAGATCTCGCTAAAACTCAACTCCGAATAACTTTGCAATTATGGTGTTTTATAAAATTTTAATTTGGAAGAAAAAATAAAATTAAAATGTCTCTCATATTTGTCTTTCTAAAGCAATCTAATAAAAAACAGATATGGTCACCGTTAATGAAATTGGAGGTTTTGTTGCTAGAGCTGAGTTTACATGGGGTTGGGGGTAGCTGGGATGGGACCCTTAGGATATTGCAGATGTCAGTTGGGACGTTATTCTCACAGGCTGGGAATTAAGCAGAGAAGATATGTAGCTAAGCCTGTTGAAATAGTGCATATTGGGTGTGGAGACTCTCTGCTTACTACATTTTAAATCAACAAAAAATAGATAAGTCCTACAAATACACAATGTAGTGACAATGTGATGGCTCCCAGCTGACAGCACTCACTCTGGCCATCAGTGGTTCCTGTGCTTCCTGTGCTGTCCTGAACACTGAGTCCTGCAGAAGGAAAGTGAGGAGGAAGGAGGGAGAGCAGAGACAGGGAGAAGGGCTAGGGTGGGCCTGTGCCTGATGCCCAGAGCCCTGTCCTGGCCACACCTACTTCCCCACATCCTCCTGGGCTGCTTCAAACAATCAGGGATCAAGAAGAGCAAAGACAAGCTGACCAGGAAGACTTCTGGATTCCGCTGGGCCTTTGTGGCAAAAGTGCCAATACCTGAAGTCAGAGCCTGGGAGGCTTCTGCTTCCTGCTTAGACTCGGACTGAGGACACAGAACAGTTTCCTGGTTATGACTTGTCCTCCCTTTTATTGTTCGAGAGGATCTTCAAGTACCTGTCCCCTAACTTGAGGGCAAGCTCAGTTGGAAACACACTGGCATCTTCTCTCATTTCCTGTTCCAAACCTACAGGGCTCCGCCCCCTCTGCCGCTCAACAGTGGTTTCGATTCTGGGTTTAATTCAGTGGCAGTTAACTTCCTTGCCAGGCCAGAGTGAATCGCAGCTTCAGAGGAGACATCGGGGAACAAGCTTGTACCGTTTGCTGTGTGAAGAAGGTACTGACAGTCCAGGCTGATTCTGCTGTGTGTGTGTGTGTGTGTGTGTGTGTGTGTGTGTGTGTGTGTGTGTGTGTGTTTGTGTGTGTGTGTGTAACATCTACGTGTGGTTCAGACTTTGCTCTCTTGACCTTTCTTCACCTTTTGCTTTCACTTTCAGGAGACTCCATGTCTCTTCACAGCATCTCAGGAATGGGAGGCCAGTGAAGGCCCCATAGTCTCCTCTCAGGGCTCAGAGGAGGGGAGGGTCTTCTCCCCAGACCACAGCTCCCCTCAGAGGAAGTAACTGGCCTTTGATGAAAGTTTCTACAGGAGATTCTCCTGTCTCCAAGGGAAGAGCCCTATGATTAGAGAGAAATTATCTAGTAATATTTCTAGTAATATTTGTTGTTATGCTTCATCCTTCCTTTACTCTCCTTCCCACCAAGTCTCTGACATGGGAATTGGAGCACATGCCCAGTTCCAAAAGCAGCTGCAGCCTTGGGGGGCAAGGCATAATCCAGCTCCTGACCTTGCTTCCCTGTCTCTGCCTGTAGCTCCTCCCTGGTGGATCCTAGGGGACTAGCAGCCAGCAACTCACACAGCAGGCCTTCCCTATTGCTTTGCAACTTAATACATACTGGGCTTGGCAACAACATCATGGTTTCCGGGCACCTTGAACCTCTGGAGGAGCCAGAGTCACCTCCTGACTCTCCATGACCTCTGCTCTCATGACCACCCCCTCATCCCACAGCTCTTTGAATTCTCGTTCCCTCAGATCAGGAAGAGTGAGCCATAAAAAGACACAATGTCCCTCTGGTTTTCTGCTTATGTGTTTATCCTGTGGGAGTTCAGATAGCTATTTCTATCCTTTACATAAAAAACAACAAAAGAACTTGACTCTTCTAACCACTGACAGTTGGTCGCTAATCTGAGATGCAGCCTTGGTGAGAGAGTAATTGCAGACAGAGACTAATCTGGTGAGTCCTGCCCCAGGACTGACCAGAGAAGGGGGAAGGAAGAGTCACAATTGATTTACTGTGAGTGTCTTCTAGTGACGAGATCAAGACAAAACTGAATTTGGATATTGTACTTCAATACTGAAAAAAAGTTGTTATATCCACCTTGTGCTAGCCGCCTATTATGAAACAATTTAAGTCTTCATAATAGCTTCTGTTAACAGGATTTTTGATAGTTTTTATTGGAATTCACATAACAAACAATTGTGCACATATTTTGAAATGTACTTTCCACTGGTGATATTTCTTCCTCTTGTTTGATTGGGCTGATGTCAGGACCTGATTGAATGAGTGAAAGAGGAGCAACACTATAACTAGAAAATGCCACAAAGTCCTCCCAATAGCCAAAACAATACTAGGAAAGAAATTAAGAGGGTGAGTCACTTTCTCCAATTTCATACTTTCTTTAAAGTTGCAGTGAATAAAAGAGTGTGTTGCTGGAATAAGGACAGACTTCATCTCAATTTAATAGAATTAAGAATCCAGAGAAAGATCCTCAGGCATCTGGAATGATTAATTAATATTCAATAAAGAAACAAAAAATATGATGTGGGGCAGGTCGAGTCTCTTCAACCAAGGGTGGTGGAAAAGCTAATCAGTCACAGGCAAAAGAAAAATAAAAATTCCCAGGGGGGTATGGTTCCACCAGCAGGTCAATCTATACCTGTGAGGCAAGTGCATCAGCAGCCTGATGGCGCCTTGAGACTTCCAGATACCCCAAAATTGCTGCTGTGCCTTTGGCCAGACCCCAAAACTTGAGGCAAAGTTTACCAAGAAAGCAAACAACCAAAAGTTAAGTATGTGGGAGACACACCCACAAACCACCTCTGGCTCAGCTATATAATTGGAGGCATGGCTTCTCTGGTTCCTGATTGAACTGCTTAACAGCCATGATCCCAGAGACTCAGAAACAAATCTCGAAACCCAACAGTTTTTGGCAGAAATGTGTGCAGTCCCCGCAGTGGGTTGTAGGCTCTAGGCCACCCCAGGTGGGAATAGGTTTCGTTCCTTGGCCTGTTCCCCCTGACGGCCCAGTGGCCACTATCCTCCAGAGGCCACTGGGCAGTCAGGTTTGGGCCTGCAGTGACGAGACACGTGGGGCCTCACAGGATGGGGGGGGAACAGGCCTTTTCCTCTTCATCCCAACGAGACTTCGAGTCGCCTCCACGAACGGCTGAACTGGCTCCTGATCAAGCTGCTTAACGGCCATGTTCCCAGAGACTCAGAATCAAATGTCAAAACGCAACGACTTTGGCAGAAATGTGTCCAGATCCCACAGTAGGTTACTGTCGTCGGGGGACCCAGGGGGGAAAGGGTGCTGTCCTCCTCCTGCTCCCCTTGGCAGCTCAGTGGCTGCCATTCGCCAGAGGCCATTGGACAGTCAGGTTTGGGCCATCAGTGATAAGACACGCAGGGCCTCATGGGATTGGGTGGAGCTGGCCCCTTCCTCCCTGTCCCAACAAGACTCTGAGTCGCCACCCACAAATGGCCTTTCTGACTGCTGATCAAGCTGCTTAACGGCCATGATCCCAGAGACTCAGGAACAAATCTCAAAACCCAGCAGGTTATGGAAGAAATCCCTCCAGTTTTAGTTTTCTTTTTTTTTTTAAATTTATCTATTTATTGAATCACTGTGGGAAAGGTTACAAAGCTTTCAGGTTTAGGTCTCAGTCATGCAAATATCAAACACATTTCCCTTTACCAATACTTATTTTTTACCATGAAGAACCCCAATTAGACCCCACCCCTCACCCCTCCCAGTCCCTGTGAGGCAGATGAATTCTAGTTAACACTCTATCTGCTTTCATTAGATTCATTGTTTCATTAAAAGATTCACCACTATTATTTAGAGTTTACTCCCGCCCCCCAAAAATCAGACATGCTGAAAAAGCATTGTGAAGTGATTTGCTTTCTACAGCTGGGTTCAAGAATTAAATATTGGTTTTGGATTTCTGCTCTTTTACTTACTGACCCTGGAAGTATTTCTACTGAAAGTCAGATAGTTAAGAAATTGGTTTCTGTGCTCTGGAGTCATGGCCGTGCTGGAGAGCCGCTCATGGGGGGCAACTGGTGGCCTCGGTAGGGCGTGAAGGGCGGACGGAAATGCCCCCCTTCCCATGAGGTTTTAGTCGCCCCACACCCCCGGCTCATACCTGCTGTCCACAAGGCTCCCATGCGGCCGCCATCTTTCTTTCCAGAGAGGAGAGGTCGAATGGGGCAACACCCTTTCCCCTCCAGACAGACATGATGGCCTGGATTAATGCATAGTCCGTTCACTTTTCTGCTCCAAGCTGCTGGGTTCTGCATTAAATCCTTGTGCTTCTGGGGCCATGGCTGTGCTGGAGAGCCGCTCGCGGGGGGCAAATGGTGACCTCGGTAGGGCGTGAAGGACGGACCGGAACGCCCCCCTTCCCATGAGGTTTTAGTCGCCCCCACACCCCCGGCTCATACCTGCTGTCCACAAGGCTCCCATGTGGCCGCCATCTTTCTTTCCAGAGGGAGGAGGGCAGAAGGGAGCAACACCCTTTCCCCTCCGGGCAGACATGATGGCCTGGATTAACGCATAGTCCTTTCACTTTTCTGCTCCAAGCTGCTGGGTTCTGCATTAAGTCCTTGTGTTTCTGGGGCTGTGGCCGTGCTGGAGAGCCGCTCATGGGGGGCAACTGGTGGCCTCGGTAGGGCGTGAAGGACGGACCGGAACGCCCCCCTTCCCATGAGGTTTTAGTCGCCCCCACACCCCCGGCTCATACCTGCTGTCCACAAGGCTCCCATGGGGCCGCCATCCTTCTTTCCAGAGAAGAGAGAGCAAATGGGGCAAAACCCTTTCCCCTCCGGGCAGACATGATGGCCTGGATTAATGCATAGTCCTTTCACTTTTCTGCTCCAAGCTGCTGAGTTCTGCATTAAGTCCTTGTGTTTCTGGGGCTGTGGCCGTGCTAGAGAGCCGCTCGTGGGCGGCACCTGGTGACCTCGGTAGGGCATGAGGGACGGATCGGAACGCCCCCCTTCCCATGAGGTTTTAGTCGCCCCCACACCCCCAGCTCATACCTGCTGTCCACAAGGCTCCCATGCGGCCACCATCCTTCTTTCCAGAGAAGAGAGGGCGAATGGGGCAACACCCTTTCCCCTCCGGGCAGACATGATGGCCTGGGAAATCCCTTCAGTTTTAATTGTTAAAATTTCAGAATTTCAAAATCAGGTGGCTACTACTGCAGCCATGTGACATCATATGTTATTCATAACCAGCAATAGAAAACAAATTGTCTACTGTTGCCTTTTCACAGATCTGAGTGTTGCGGTAAAATCCCAAATGATATGGTGGGTCTGGTGTCAAAATATTAAATGTAATCAAAGTAGAGAGAGAGTAATGTGGAAATCATCTGCCCCACAGGAAAGGAGTTTCTCTCCTTTGTTCAACCTTTGAGAGGAAGTGTGTTCTTTTCTCACTCTCTCTGACTCCCATGTCCAAAATATTTCTACAAATGAAATGGAATCTTTGATCTGGTCTCATTTCACCACAGACTCAAGCAATTAATAAACAACTGAAATGCAATAATGCAATTAGATTGAAAGTGCTAAACATGAAATTTTATTTCATTTTAATTATACTCAGTTTAAGGGTTCAAGTCTAATTGTGATATAGTCATTCACAACACAGCTCCAAAAAAACCCGAATCTTCTCAATCCTAATCCATATCTCTCAGAGAGATTTCAAACTCGAAGGAGACCCAGAAACTCTAGTGGAGTGCATTTCTCAGAGACTAGAAATTTCTGACTGATTTATCCCTATCTCTTGATCCAATATTGCAGAATTTCCTGAAAAGCCATGGCCTCAGCTATATTTACCAAGAAGTTCAGGGAGGAAGCTACCTGCTCCATCTGCCTGAAGCTGATGACTGAGCCCGTGAGCATAGACTGTGGGCACAGTTACTGCCGCATTTGCATATTGGGCCTTTCTGGGAACCGAAGCTCTGAAACATCATCTCCAGGGACATTTCATTGTCCCCAGTGTCAGAAATCTTTTAAAAGGGATAGTCTCCGGCCCAACAAGCAGTTGGAAAATATCATTGAAACCATCAAGGACACAGAGCATGAAAGGTTGTGTGAGAAGCATGGAGAGCAGCTCCACCTGTTCTGTGAAGATGATGGTCAGTTCATCTGCTTATGCTGTGAGCGGTCACCACAGCACAAAGGACATGTCACTGCTCTTGTTGAATATGCATGCCAACATTACAGGGTGAGTGTGGATGCCAGAAAATCTCTTAAAAATCTCATCTGCTATTGCTCCGAAACCTGTTTTACTTATTCATTTGACAGAAATTATTTTCATTGTTGTATATGTTTCAATGTACTTTCACTCGCTGCATAGGTGAGTTGTCACAACAATCTCACTAAAAAATGCTGAGCTTAATCTTCCTCCATCCATTGATCAACTCCCCTCTCCCCATCTCTTCAAGGCTTCCCCCTTGGTCAAAATCCAAGTGCTGGGGTTTCCTTTTTCTTACTCAATTTCTTTATGTTCAATTTATGAGTGATATTATCTGAGATTTGTATTTCTCTTCTGAGTTATTTTTTCTATAATAACACCTCCACTCCATCCACGTTGTCACAAATGGGAAATTATTTATTTATTTATTTATTGTTTAATTTTTTTTAAGTTAATTCATGGTCGCGCGACATCTTATTATCTCATTCTTATTTTGGACAACCTGGCAGGCTACCGAATGTAATCTGCTTACACAGCAGAGTCTGTCAAACTCCCTGTGGCGTACCCAATATGCCAAATACCAGTAACAATGATGGGTCTCATTCTCCTAACCCTGAAAGAGCCTTGAATATGGCACTTTTTAAAAAATCTCAGGGCTAGGATGAAGGAGACGTTACTAGGGCCTGCTCGAGGCAATCGACGAACAACAGGATGGGCATGATCGTGATTGTTTAATTCATTTCTTAAAATAATTTTTAGAGCATTACAAAGCTGTTCATGATTGGATTTCAGTCAGAGAGTATTCCAACACCCATCCCTCCAACAGTGTACATGTCCCAGCACCAGTGACCCCAGGTTCCCTCCCACCAGCCCCACCTCACATTCCCTGCCTGCCTCTCCGACAGGTGATTTTCTTCTCCCTCTCTCTCTCTCTCATTCTCTCTCTCCTTTTAGTCATTGTGGTTTCCAATATTGATGCTGAAAAGTTATCAAGAATATCCCTTACCTACTTTTAACCCTCAGATCTTGTCCAGCGTGATCATTCCCAGCTATTATTGTCATAGCGGTCTCTTCCCTATCTTACTTATTATCAGTCCCATACACATTTGTTGTTTGTTCCAACCATTAACCAGTCCTCCTAGCACCTGTTTTTCCTGGCTCTGGATATTCTTCTTCTATATATAGACATAATATATATTCTTCTAATAAATATATATTCTTCTAATATATTATATATGGACATATACATATATAAAACAAATGAATGCTGTCATTCTGTATTTGTCCCCTTCCTTCTGCCTTATTTCACTCAGAATGGCACTCTCCATGTCCATCTAATTATAAGCAAATTTCATGACTTTATTTTTCCTAAGAACTGCATAGTATTCCATTGTGTAAATGTGCCATAGTTTCTTTGTCCATTAATCTGTTCTTGGGTACTCAGGTTGTTTCCAGATACTGGCTATGGTGAGTAATGCTGCAATGAACACAGGAGTGCAGATAGTGTTTCTGCTGTGCGTTTTTGGGCCCTCAGATCATATTCTCAGAAGTGGCATTGCTGGGTCAAATGAGAATTTAATTTTCTACTTTTCCAAAACAAAACGTCCATATTGTTTTCCAAAAAGACTGGACCAGTCGACATTCCCACCAACAATGGAGGAGAGTCCCTTTCTTCCCACATCCACCCCAACGCTGCTTGCTTTTGTTCTTTTGGATGTGTGCCATTCTCTGTGGTGTGAGATAGTATATCATTGTTGTTTTGATCTGCATCTCTGATTATTAGTGATGAAGAATATTTTTCATGTGTCTTTGGCCATTTAAATTTCTTCTTTTAGAAAGTTTCTGTTCATTTCCTCATCCCATTTTCTTATGGTTTTGGATTATTTTTCCTTGTAGAGTTCAACCAATGCCTTGTATATCCTTGATAGCAACCCCTTAGCAGAAGGGTATTGGGTGAATATCCTTTCCTACTCCTTAGACTGTCTTTGTATACTCATCACTGTTTTAGTTTTTTTGTTTTTGTTTTTTTTTTCCTTTGAGGTGCATAAGCTTCTTAGTTTAAGATAGTTATATATATATGCAAATATATATTTTAATCTCTGCTTCCACTTGTTGGGTCAGTTGCATTTCATCTTTGAAGATATCTTTTGCTTCAATGTCGTGGAGGGTTTTGCCGACATTTTCTTCAATGTACCTATGGATTTTGGTCTGATGTTGAGGTCTTTAATCCATTTTGATCTGACTTTTGTGCATGGTGTTGAGTAGAGGTCTGAGCCCAGTTTTTTTTTCATGTAGCAGTCTGGTTTTGCCAGCACCATTTGTTAAAGGGGTTTTCCTTGCTACACTTTATGTTTCTTGCTCCCTTATCAAAGATTAAATGATCATATATTTGAGAGTGTGTGTAAGGATATTCAACCCTATTCCATTGGTCTGTGGATCTGTCTTTGTTCCAATACCTTGACTTTTAAAATATTACTGCATTGTAGTAGAGTTTGAGGTTGGTGAAGGTGATGCCTCCCATCTTTTATCCCCAAGAATTGCCTTTGGTATTTGCGGGGGTTTATTGTTCCATATGAATTTCAGGAGTGTTTGATTAATTTCTTTGGAGAATGTCATGAGTATCCTTATAGGGATCCCATTAAATCTATATAATGCTTTGGGAAGTATTTTCACAATGGACAATGTTAATTCTCCCAATCCATGAGCAAGGATGTGTTTCCATTTCCTCATGTCATTTTTCATTTCTTGAAGTACAGTTTTGTAGTTTTCTTTGTAAAGGTCTTTTACCACCTTAGACAAGCTGACTCTGAGGTACTTGATTTTCTGAGGCACGACTGTGAATGGGACTGTTGTTTTCATATCACTTTCTCCTCTCTCATTATTTGTATATAGGAAAGCCATGGAGTTTTAGGTATTGATTGTATAGCCTGCAACTTTACTATACAAGTTTATAGTTTCTAGGAGTTTCTTGATAGAGGTTTTAGTGTTCTCTAAGAATAGTATCATGCCATCTGCAAATAGTGAGAGCTTGATTTCTTCCTTTCCTATCTGGGTGCCCTTAATATATTTTTATTGCTTTACTGCTATTGTAAGTACTTCCAGTAGTATATTGAATAATAGTGGCAAGAGTGGGCATCATTGTTTTGTCCGAATCTCAAAGATTTTTAGTTTTTCCCCATTGAGAATAGTGCTTGCCATGGGGCTTGTAGTAGATGGCTTTGACTCTAGTGAGAAAAGTTCCTTCAGTTCCCATTTTGGTGACAGTTTTCATCATAAATAGGTGCTGCTTGTTCTGATTTCAGTTGTCTTCTCATTTCAAGTCTTTCTTGTGCTTTGTTGATTATCCTTATCATCATTTCTTTGAGCTCATTAAACATCATCATGTGTCATTAAAGTCACTGTCTAAGGATTTCCTGAGCTGGTTGGTGTTGTTTGTGCCTTCAGTGATATTGTTCTCACTTAGTGAACTTAGTGGGTGTGGAGGCTACTGGGACCTAGGCAGAAGGGAAGGTTCTGCCTCCCTTTCCAGAGTAGGTTCAAGAATATAAGCAAAAGACTGGTCACACCTGGAATGGTGGCAATGCCAGTAGAAATTCAGGAGCAGCCGCCTCTAGTCATTTTTCTATTATTGTTTAATTGAACATGTTGTCAAAAAAGTATTTGGAAACATGCCATTTTTTATTTCTTTATTTCTAATGAAGAAATGTATGATTCTTATCTTTTTGATGCTTTGATAGAGAACGCTTCTTCATTTTAATATATTTAACAGTCCTTGGAATCCAAAATCAGACTGACACATCATAATATATGATGCTAACATTGATCTGTATTGAATTGGTTTCGCTAAGGTGTTGCTGAGGATTTTTAGGTATATGTGTAATAATAATGGTCTTTAATGTTATCTTTAGAATGTTTTATTCTTTTTTTCCTTTTTGGATCACACTGGCAATGCACAGGGTTTACTCCTGGCTCATGAAGTCAGGAATTACTCCTGGAGGTGCTCAGGGGACCATATGGGATGCTGGGAATCGAACCCAGGTAGACTGTGTGCAAGGAAAATGCCCTACCTTCTGTGCTATCGCTCCAGCCCTAGGTTTCATTCTTGATTCCTTTTGGTATAAGGTATTGTTGCTCTCAGAAATGATGAATGAAAGCTCATTATTTACTTGCCTATACTGATAGAATTTCAAAGGGTATAGGATATTGTTGAATCGTTTCTAGATCTCACCTGGTCATAGAATTTTCCTTGGAAAAGAATTTTTACTTCCATTTTTCGATCTGCAACTAAAATGTTCAGGGCTTGCTCCTGGCTCTGTGCTTAGGCAACACTCCTGACTGTACTCATGCACTGTATTCATAGCCAGAATCAAACCAGGTTCAGTTGCTTAAATAAAGAAATGGCCTCACTTTGGCCTTCCAAACTTATTAGAAATTCCATTTCCTTTAAAAAAAAAGAAAGGACTTAGTATCAACCCTGGAAAACTACCTTCAGTAAGGGACCAAACAACCCAATTACATTTGAGTTAATATTATCTACTGGGATCATTCCAGAACATTCAGAGTAGAGAATCACCCTCATTGGAAAATAGCGAAGGGGCTGGAGCCATAATACAGCCTTTAGGGCACTTGTCTTGCATGAGGCAAACTGGGATTTGATGACCACCTTGCCATATTGTTCCTGAAGCACTGACAGAAGTTATTCTTGAGTGAAGAACTGGGAGTAACCCTGGATCATCGCCAGGTGTGACCCCAAAAGTCAAAACAACAAACAATTGACATCTGCCTCGTATCCTTTGATGGTAGAAAAGTCCTCAAAGGGAGGAGAAAAGCTAGGGACTCATAGACTCAAGACTTATGACAAGGGCACAGATAAGAAAGTTTCCCCGGCACCATGCAGAGACCATGGTGTGAGTGGAGGGAAAGATAGGTGAAGACACAAGAGTAGAATTTAGACATTCAACCTGGGTCACAGTTTTTTTACTGCAAATACTTCAACCTCGTGAAAGAAATTATGTAGGATCCCTAATATATGAGTTGGAGAAGAAGAAATATTATAGCTGACCTTGAAAGATTCTTGACGGAATTCCAATTCTCAAACTTTGAAAGTCCTTACCTATTTTAAAACTTGAACTGCACCATTTTGGTGTATTTTCCACAGTGCAGCTCCTGACACTCAAGTTTTTCAGCTAAAGGGACCAACTATTTCTGGACACTTAGAGAGAGTATTAATCATACCTCAGAGGAGTATTAGGAACTGAATGTTTTTGTTAGTTTGGGACAAATATTGACATGAGAAAACCATTCTCTCTCAAAATAAGATAGAGCCACCAATTTCTAAAATTCATATTATTCCCAGAAGTATAGGCTGGGGGCATAGTTGACTAAAGACTTATAGGGGTGGTTAACTCTTTAGAAATGAATGTCTGGGAATGAACCCTAGTGAGAGGTTTAGATTAGCATATATGCAAAGGCATGTATGAAGACTGCCTTGAACTTTGGTGGAATAATAGAGTGGACACTGTCCTGCTGCCTCATTTCATAATCTTATGTGGAAGTGAGGAATATGTTGTTTTCTTGAACAAGTTTCTGAACCCCATACGAAGAATTGATTTCTTCAACAGAGAAATTATGTTAAGCATCTTATTAGTTTTTCAGATTGCCACAGAGATCAACTGTGTTACTGGACTAGTTACTTTTTTTCTCAGCATGTAAGAACTCGCCAAATACTCAACGTTATTCTACTTGTCTGAAAACCTGTGATTTCTGTTGGATGTTGTGAAGAGTTATCCAATTGAAAAACTAACACCCAATTTTTCCACAGGAACAGCTCTGGAAAGCAGTCAGAAAACTGAGCGTAACACGCATGAAATATATTCAGCTGAGGAAAGACACAACTCTGAAAATAACTAGCTGGAAGGTGAGAGTTTGAAGCTTCTTGTGGTCATACTATATGCCATCAATAGTAGTACAGTCAGTAGTACAGTAATGCTACATACAGTAGTATAGTAATAGTATATACAGTCTAGTAGTAGGTATTGTTTGGCGAAAGCACTGAGGCTTTATTACTCAATAATTGGTCCAAATTGTTAAAATTAATGTAGGAAGTACCATTCCCCTTTACCCCTTTAGTTATATGCGTCTATTACATTTTTACTGCAAATAATTCACCCTCGTGAAAGAAATTATGTAGGATTTCTAATATCTGAGTTGGAGAGAAGAAATATTATAGCTGACCTTGAAAGATCCTTGACGGAATTCAAATTCTCAAACTTTGAAAGTACTTACCTGTTTTAAAACCTGAACTGCACAGTGCAGCACCTGACACTCAAGTTTTTCAGCTAAAGAGAACAACTATTTCTGGACACTTAGAGATAGATTCATTCTGATGAGATGCATTGAGCTCAACTTCCTGAGGCTGTTAATATGGAGGACCAGAACTACCACAAGAACTTAGAACAGACAATTACAGAATTTGAGTCTCTAGTACAGTGATTAAGCAGAGTCCCTATGGATGAAAACATAATTTTTAATTGATATTGATATAGTATATTAGACTAAAATATTATCACATTATCACATTGATATAGTATATTAGACTAAAATATTATCACATGGACAAGTAAGCCATTTTTGCCTCTTTTATGGTGTCTTAAATCACAGCCATTATTTTTTATTTTTTAAGAAATTTTATTGGATCACCATGAGATACAGTTACAAACTTGCATGATTGCATGTCAGTCAAACAATGCTCAAGTACTCATCCCTTCACCAGTGCACATTTTTCCACCACCATTGTTCCCAGTGTCCCACCCACCACCCCCACCCTTCCCCACTCCCTGCCTTTGTGGCAGGTACAATCCTTCTCTCTCTCTCTCTCTCTCTCTCTCTCTCTCTCTCTCTCTCTCTCTCTCTCTCTCTCATTTTGGGCTTTATGATTTGCAATACAGATATTAAGAGGTCACAGTCAGTCATTATTTTTATGTGCAAATGTCCAATATGATCTCTCAAAAGAAAGCCTTTTGCTTTCATTTCTTGCGTCTTGAGTCTTGAGAAGATCTTCACGATTTAAAAAAATACTCCTTTTATAAATACATGGATTGAAGCTACTCTTGACTTCTACTTAATAATAAATAAGCTACTCTTTTATTAATTTCAGAAACAGTAAATGACTTTCTGAAATGAGAAAGGTAAATGGGAAATTCAAGTTCTGGTCCCCACTGCACCAAATAAAACTTGTATTCTACAGTTTATATCATTTTGTTATATTCATAATCACACATTAGGGTGTTTAATTGAAGCCAGAGTTGGTATTTCTAGTATTTATGATCAGAATCTGCAATTGGACCTCTCCCTGGTGAGACTCATGAATTTGCCAGGGTGGTCATCTTTACTTCAGTTGTGATTCTCAGTTACAAACCTTAATAAGATCCAAGAAGAAACTTCAGAATTTTCTTGAAAAGAAAGTTTGTCTGAAAGACAGGAACACATCTTTGTATGAAAAGAAAAACTCATATTTATTTTTATAACTCACATTTTATTTACCTTGGCCAAACTCTATTCTGAACTTTATTTGTACTTTTTACACCGCCTTCTTGGTGAAGTGGGAGGAATTTATGCAGATAACTGTGTATAATGGTGAGAACGTCTTCAACCTTTGAATATCTGCCACCCGAGCATAACTCTGGTCTAGGAAATGTGGAGAACTCTTTAGGCTACGACACAGTAACTGAGGAACTGTGTGTGTGTGTGTGTGTGTGTGTGCACGTGCACGTGTGTGTGTAGCGAGCATAACATAAAAGTCACTTTTCTTTTCCTTTTGAGTGGACAGCTCCGTGGCATTTAAGTTTGTACACAACGCTTGTGCAGCTATTACATTTATCCACCTGCAAAACTCATTCATCATCAAAACTGAAACTCTGTCTCTTCCTAGTCTTCAAACATCTTCCTCCTATTTTCTGGTATTCACTGTCTCTATGAATATCACTTAACTCACATAAGTAGAGTTCTATAATATTGACCCTCTGTTTCTGGTTGACTTTGCTTCGCTCACTACCTAGCTAGCTGATCCATGTTGCACATTGCGGCAAATGTTCCTTCCTTAATACTACTAAATATATTTCGCTTGTTTCCATGTGATTTATATTGTGTATGGATGTATTGTTAATGAACATTAATCTGTTTTCACATTCTGAATACTTTTCTTTCTTATAGGAGAAAATAAATCATGAGAAAGAAAGAATCCATTCTGAATTTAAAAGTCTTCACACATTCCTGAACCAGGAGGAGGAGTTATATATGTGTCGACTGAAGAAAGAAAAAGAGCAGAAGCTGAGCAAACTGCAAGACATTTTAGCCCATCTGGATGACAAACTACAGGAACTTGAGAATCACATCCAGGAACTGGACAAGAAATCTCAGAGCTCAGCACAGAATTTGCTGCAGGTGAGTCTGAGCACTTGGAGGAGACAGAGGACATGTCTTATTCAAGGGCTAGTCAGAGCAGAATGGTGAGCAATAGGGAGGATTAACAAGGCCTACTTCCTCAGTTCAGACTCCTCCCTTTGACTCACCTTGTTTATCATGACACCCTGGAGTTCTAGCTGAGATGAATGAACTGTTGGATTTCACCTTTTCTTATTGTATGTGTATAGCAGTTCTTTATCCACTATGTGTTCTTGGATATTTGGGATGATTCCAGGTATTGGCCATTGTGATTTACACCATAATAAACACAGAAAAGCAGATACATTTTAAAATTAATAGAGTTATGCTCTTTGGAATGATCCCCAGAACTAACAACTCTAGGTTTTATGGAAACTCAGTTTTTCATTTTGGGTTGTCTCCTCTACAAGTGTGAGTCTGTGTCCTATTTTAACTTCAAAGCAAACAAGTACTGTATGTATTAGAAAAGATGCCATTGTTTCTCACAACTTTCCCCCATTTTATGTTTTTGTACTCTATTGCTTTCAAGTCGGGTTTTTTTGCCTTTTAAAGGAGTCCTTTTAGTGTTTCTAATAAGTTTGGTTTAACAGTCAAGAACTTCTTTAGCTTTACTTTCTTTACAATTTTGTGTCACTCTTTCAAATTTGACTGTTAACTTAGTTGGATTGAGTATTCTTATGAGGTGTTCATTTCATCCTACTTGTTTGCTGTGTCAAACCATTCTGTACTAGCTTAGGTAGTTTCATTACTATGGCATTTTCTTTACATTTTTTAAAAATTTTTATTGTGGTGCTATCAAGATTTTATTTCTATCTCTTTGGCTTTTGTCATTCTACAGTGTGTTTTAGAGTTCTTTTATCTAAATATGTTTTGTTTTCCCGGAGATGAAGGTCACCAGGCAAGTAGTGAGGACAGAGTTGACCATAAGATTAGAGTAGAAAAGAGATGAACTAGTGGGGAAAGTAACCCAGTAAGTGCCAAATGGGGTGTTGATGGGTATTTTTATGGACTGCTAAAAAGTTCTCTTGGTGAATGTGTCTAAGATCTGTATTGAGAACATATATTAAGTGTCAGACAGGCCAAAGTGCTTTGAATTCAATAAATCTGTGACGAAGTGCCTATAATTATTGTCTCATGATTCAGCTAAGAAAATGTAATTTGGGCGACTTTACTAGTTTACACAGCTTAAAGGTACAAGAAGCGAGGATTCAAGTCTGATTTAGATTGGAACCATTCACTGCATTCCTTTAAAACGAATATATTTTCTGTTTCCTAGAGTTGAAGAGGAAGGGTCAGCTATGCCATTGATATCATGTTGCTAATTTTGAATTCTTTTAATACATCTGTAAGCATTGTTACGCTAATGTTAAATAATAAGTTCTGAAAATCTATTATATAGAGTTATTTTCCTTACACAATGCAAAGTAGAGCTTTCTTTTATTTGTTGTCAGTCACTCCCCACATCGTCATCTGTAATCTTTGAAAGATATTTTCCAGGTCTGACAAAGGTGGGATATAGGAAGATACATAAGCCTGTGCAAATTCTTTGACTCAGTGTCAGCCATGAGTTAGCAGTTTTTGCTATGGAAACACACAGTTTCACTTTACCAGTAAGATAAAGGCATATCACTCTCTGTCTCTTTGTCACTCTCTGTTTCTGTCTTTCTGACTCTCTCTGTCTCTCTGTTTCTGCCTTTGTCCCTCTCTCTCTCTCTCTCTTCTCTCTCTCCTGTTGTTTTTTAATCCACAATCAATGGATATTATTACTGCATTTCTCAGGGTCCTTGGAGGAACATGTAGAGTGAAATTGGCCCTTCCTCATGCAAAGCATGACTTCAGCCCTTTACAATACTACCTGATAAATATTTCTTGCACATTCTCATTTGGCTCTCTCATTTTCTTATTGCTTAGGTTACTTTATCTTTTGGTCTTACTCAAGTTTAAGGTAAAAATATCACTAGTGCCAGAACCTTCCTGGCTTTCAGGAAAACTCCCTTGGTCATTGCCCTTGACAATAGCCAGTTATTCTTCATTATTGCACATAACGGTAGACCAAGGAAAGACCACTAACTAGAAAATTTTCCTGCTAATCATTCTATGTTCAATTGAGCATTGCACTGTTATTTCTCTAGAAGTAGGACACCTACGTACATGTACTCAGTATGTCATCCCTTTTCTTGTAGCCTTGCAGTCTATTATCCTATGTCAGAAAAAGTTCTCTGGAACTCATGATAGGCTCAGTGTGTCTATTTTACAGATAAGAAAATGAAATCAGAGTTGTGCCATTTTCAAGGATAACATAATTATATAATACAGAACTGGAACCAGAGTTCACACTCATCGTCAGTTCCTAAAAAACTCGACTGCCTCTCACAAAAATAATTCACAATAGGTGTTTAGTTTCCAATCATCCACATTGGTGAGGATGATGTTTAGGGGCTGCTTCTCCAAGAGTTGATCTTACAATGAGGAATTGAGTGAAGGCCATGCACTTAAAATGTGTCCCAGGGGAAGGTAATGAGGTTATGAAAGAATCAGGTAAAGAAAAAGGAAAGAATCAAGCCTATCTATGATTCAGGAAAATGTTTTGGGATCTCAGACTATATCTCAGCCTGATCTCATAGGGATCCCAAGAGAAAAAAAAATGACGTTGCTAAGGATTCCCCACTCAGAGCTTGGACTTCTCAGTCCCTATGTCAGTCATTTAGGAGTCATTCAGATGCCATGAGGCGTCTGTCACTCATCTGCTGGAACCTTCCTATGAACATTTTTTTTCTTTTTGGGTCACACCCGGCAATGCACAGGGGTCACTCCTGGCTCTGCACTCAGGAATTACTCCTGGCGGTGCTCAGGAAACCATATGGGATGCTGGGAATCGAACCCGGGTTGGCCGTGTGCTGGGCAAACGACCTACCCGCTGTGCTATCGCTTCAGCCCCCCTGATGAACTTTTAAGTTTACCTACTTCAGTACACTTCCCACCCTGTCTAATAGGTTATCTTGCTTTATTGGAGATCTTTTCTTTTGTTTCTCTTAATTCACTGAAGCTTAAAATTGTTCCTTGGAGAAAATTGTTGCCATCTACAATTTTCAACTCAGAGAAAATGAGCAAAAAGGTTCCTGGTTGCTTGGGAACTTTCCAGAGTTTTGTCTTCACCCAGTAAATTGTGTGGGCTCTCAACCTTCTTAGTTGTGTTGCCATGCTGTGAGATTTAGGGGTGAGGTCTGCTGTTTTGCTGTTTAGAATAGCAAGTCTAAGGTTGACTTACATCCATCATTTCCACAGGAGACCTGTGGGGCAAAGTTTGTGTTACAACCAGTCTCTGCCAAGACAGTGCTGTACTCAGAGGCAATGCCTCTTGCCCTTCACAATTCCAGGGCCTCCCCATGAATCCTTGCCCTAAAGCTTTGAGTTAAGGCACTTGTGCACCTCTGAGCCAGGCTTCCTTATTTCTTGTGTAAAATCTGCTCTGAGCCTGACTGATTCCTTGCATCAGATGTATTATTGGGCGTGGAGATGGGAGGATGGGAGGAAAGGGAATATGATCTTTGTTGCTTTGTAGTCACAGTACACAGGCAGCTGAGCTGTCTGCACACAACTCAGCCTGGTGGTGCCCCATCTGCCTGGGACTGCAGCTGTATGCTCCACTATAAATATTGGCCTGAGCTCCTATAATGTCCAAATCATTTCTCCTCTCGGCCTTGTGAAGAAATTAATTCATGAACATGTGGGATAATGTCCTGTCCACTTTTTTGTTCCCCCTGGTCCTGACTGGTAAGTCATCTTCACCCTCTTCTATCCTTGGGCCTCATCTCTTGAGCTCATTACCCTTCTGAAGTTCCTCACACAAAAACACGCCCAGAGCCATTTACTGGTTGCTGCTATGCAATTCCACTGTAGATTACACATGCAATATTTTGGTCATGTCTGTGCTTCATTAAATTTTGCACTAGTCTGATTCAGAGGACAACTTTCCACCCCATCTTGGCTCCTCCAATGCCTGGAGGTTTGTCTAGTATCACAACAGAATTGAAGTTATGCCATGATTTGTGATTATATGACTGTTTCACCATCATGTGATACATGCCATCAATACCTAACTCATCTCAGTCACAGAGATTTGGCATGCACTCAGAACTCAGACCCCTTATGATAAGCAGTGTCCGATATGGACTCAATCTAAGAAATCACATAATTGAAAGCAAGTGGTACCCCGGGCATCCTTCTGATCCCTTTCCCAATAGCCATAGGTTGACGTGCTTTCAGACACTAAATCTCCCCACAGCTTCCTGCAAGGAAGATAATCTTTCAGACACTAAATCTCCCCACAGCCTCCGTCTGGCTGAGAGATTGATAAAGAGGCAGTAATATGCATCACCAAGGGACTCGGGTGGGACTCAACCTATTAGAAATTCATCAATGTCGACAGATAGGCTCTCAGTGGTGCCTCAACAGGAATGAACTTACACAGTACCTAAAGCCTTGGTTCCGTTCCCATCCTTGGGGTCCCTTACCTTATATTAATGGAAGGAGTGTTTATAGAGAACTGCCCCGCATGCCATTCTCCATGAAGTTCAGATGTTCCTACATTCACCTTTGCCTTTGTTTCTCTACAGGATATAAAGGACACCTTGAGCAGGTGAGTGCCCCATATCATTAGTGTGGGCAGGAGAAGGGCTGGGCATAGAGACACAGATGGAAGGAAACACTGAAGGAATCTCTGGTCTCTGCTTATTCTAGGAAGTCAGCTATCTATGTGGAAACACCAGAGGATGTTTCTTTGGAGATGCATACTGTATGCAATGTCCCTGCACTTTACTTAAATGTGAGAAGAGTTTTAAAGCACTATCAAGGTATGTTCATTTTAGAATCCCTTAGTAATATTTTAATTTTAACTCTCAGTGTAATGCAAGAAAGGTAGGTGATTATTATTCACCGGGGTGCAAGTGATGTAAGATCTTGACCCAGTAACATGTTTTGAAATCCAAAGGCTGAGTTTTCTCTTTCTGTAATTCTCTATAATTCTACTCGTAGCATACTCGATATGCCAAAAACAGTAACATTGATGGTCCTCATTCCCCTGACCCTGAAAGAGACCCAATATGCCATCGGGCTACACTAGCAAGTGACAGGGACGAATGGAGATGTTATTGATGCCCACTCGAGCAAATCAATGAACAATGGGGTGATAGTGATAGTGAAAATTTTCTTTAATCATTGTTTTCTATGTTTCTCTAGTCTCTTATAAAAACCAAAAGTTATGAAAAGAGAAAAATTTTTAAATGAGGGATTATTAAATCAAACCTAATCTAAGGACCAGAGAGAGAAGGCATCCTGGCATCCTGGGGCTTTGCGGTGATCAGCTGGTCCAATTAGCTGGAGTGACTGGGTCCCCTGCACCTGGGAGTCCCTTCGCCAATATTCTGCCTTAGCCCTATTGTGCACTTTCACATGTATGATTTTTTGTTATTAAATCTTACAGATGCTCATATTATGATTGAAAAACTCTTCTATTTCTGAATATATAAAAAGTTAAATTTATCTCTCAATGATTTGTCTTTAAGCTCATTGCATTAGGATCAAGAAAAACTATGTATGGTGCAATTTATTTAGTTTGTAAAAAATTATATGTATTCATTTGAGTTTTTTAAAAATAAATTATGAAGTGGCATCTGACTGTGCCTTTATGTTCAATGACCACTCCTGGTACAGCGAATCGAACCTGAGGCAGGCTAGTTCAAGGCAAGCATCTTACTCACTATTGTATCTCTCTGGCACTATTTAAGGTTTTTAACTTTCTTCACATTGACACTGGATTTTTCCCAATAGTTTAAGTAAGAGGAACTGAAAATCAGCTCATTTCTGAGTCAGACTCATAATAAGAACTGGTTGTGGAGAATATTAGAGATACTATTTTCAGCAAACTGAGACTCAAAATGATTCATAGATAAGAAGAACAGAACTTAGGTTTGAATCTAGGCTGCCTATATTTTTAAAAAGACCCTAAGTCTCAAAACATGCCAAGAGGAACTCTGACATGATGGTGGGTTTGGAGTTAAACATTGAATGCCAAAAACTGTTATCAATAGCTTGGCAAATTGCAATGAATAAATAAAAAGTTTTTTTCCTTTAAAAAACAAGTCTAATAAGGCAGTGGCAGGCGGTGGGGGAGTGTTGTGTAGAGCGCCCTTCATAAGGTTTCCCCTTGAGTTCAGAAAGTGTGGGGTTGTGAGTCACATGCATTTGGTGTCTGAGAACTGCCTCCCCACCACCCCCCCCAGCAGAGAGACAGAGAGACAGAGGACCAGGGATAGATGGTCAAAATGGCCTATTTAGGGGCCAGAGCATAGTAGAGCAGATAGGGCATTTGCCTTGCATGCTCCCCTGAATCCCATACAGTACCCCGAGCACCACCAGGTCTAACTCCTGTGTGCAGAGCCAGGAGGAATCCCTGAGCATTCCTGGGTGTGACCCAAAAAAGCAAAAAAAAAAAAAAAAATTAAAAAACGGCCCATTTCAAACAGAGCTGCTAGCATACTTACAGAAGATCTCAAGGGGGTTGAGCTATAGGACTGCACATAGGTGTGATTATTTACAGAGGTAAAACATTTAGAAAGAGGAAATTCTCTTGGGATTAACTCAGGAAGACACCCTGTCTCCCAGGGAAATCTATTACTTTTCTCTTTCACTTTACTTGTACATATTAAAAAATTAAATTTTCTTCTTATTAATACTTGAAGTTTTTTGGATAAACACAGTAAGTGATATATGTTCCACAAATTATTTCTCTAGTCTATGAGGGCAAGTGGAGATTTTACTGCAAATCCCAGACTAAGTCCTCGGGTTGGTTTAGCTTGTCCTTCCCCATGGGGGCCCTGTCTCATAAGTCATAATGACTTTCATCAAGACGATGTTTCTATGCTTTCTAGATTGTCCCATTTCAATGCCGGGGAAGCTTTGAAACTCACCTCGAATCCCTCCCAGTCCCATGGCAGGACCTCCCTTGATGGGATGTTAGGAATTATGGCAACTGAAGCCTGAGTCAAGTAGCTATGATGGATGCCAGGAGTAGATATATTTCAAGTCAATCAACTCCCAAATATTAGGAGTGTAGTTAACAGTCTTTCTGTGTTTAAGCAAAGAACATTGCTCTATAGTAGAATATGAAAAGGATATAGAGAAATAGAAAAGCAAGTAATTCACTATAAACACAAAGTACAGAATTACCAGAAAGTTTTGGCTTCTAAGTAACCAAGACTGGCTTGGGCAATTGTGACAATGAAAGATAAAACACAAAAGAAAGTTAAAAATAAAATCGGGGGATTAGGGGGTGCTCGTAAAAGCACTGTAAGCTTCTCTGGGAGGAGAAAAAGTGCAATTCGCTGAAGAAGCCTAAAGCACTTAGGGTTAATATCCAACACCCCCAGCCCACCAGGAGAGATCCCTAAAGCGCAGAGCCTGGAGTAAGCCCTGAGCACCACTGAGTGTCGCCTCCAAATAAAAACAAACAAAAAAAGTAAGTCTTTTGGAGCTAGGGAATAGTATAATAATTAGAGCACTTGCCTGGTACCCCACCCGATCCCCAGCATCCCAAATAGTACACTGCCAGAGTGATTCCTAAGCACAGAAACAGTAGGAAGCCTGAGAACTGCCTGGTGTGGCTACCGCCCCCCCCCCCAAAAAAAAGAAAGAAAGAAGGAAGGAGGGAGGGAGGGAGGGAGGGAGGGAGGGAGGGAGGGAGGGAGGGAAAGAAGGAAGGAAGGAAGGAGGGAGGGAGGGAGGGAGGGAGGGAGGGAGGGAGGAAGGAAGGAAGGAAGGAAGGAAGGAAGGAAGGAAGGAAGGAAGGAAGGAAGGAAGGAGGAAATCTAAAAAATAAAATCAAGTCTTTTATTATTTTTTTTCCAGACAATGTGACTCTGGATCCCAAAACTGCTCATCCAGATTTATGTCTGTCTGACAATCGGAGAACAGTGGCTTACAAAGGAAGCATACTGATGTATCAAAATCCTGGAGGATTTAGTGTCTTATCCTGTATCCTGGGCCGTGAGTGCTTCACCTCAGGAAGACATTACTTTGAAGTGGATGTGCAAGTAGGAGTTGAGTGGGGTGTAGGAGTTTGTCTGGAAAATGTACCAAGGGACATTGACATTGTACGAGAACCTCAGTCTGGATTCTGGGCCATCAGACTGAGAAAGGACAAGAGCTGTTTAGTCCTTACTTCTCCCCAAATTTCCCTTCCTCTGAGGGACCAGCCTCAAATTGTAGGGATTATTCTAGACTGTGAGGCTGGGCTTGTGTCCTTCTACAATGCCACTAGTCATTCCCACCTCTACACCTTCCCCACAGCCTCCTTCTCTCATGCTCTCAGACCTTATTTTGAGGTTTATCCATTTTCTTCATTGTCCTTGATTTCCTCAAATAAGTAAGAAAAAAGGAAAGTATCTTTCTAGTTAAACCAGCATAGAAATTAGTTGGTAAATCCAGGTGGAAACAAAAATTGGATCTAATTTCTAACTGGCTGTTTCACCATATCTACAATATTATCTCAAACATTTGGAATGCATAAAACTTGCATTGAAGTAATAGATAATCAGAAGGTAACACAAATGATAATGAATCTGCACTGCAATGGAAAAAGCAAGATTTTTTAAAATTGCTTTGCATATTTTGTATAGAGTTTCTCCTCTCCTTTGCTTTCCATGATTTCAGATCTTTAATTTCCAAGACAAACTGACAGACCAGTGAGCAGGATGACAGAAGCTAAGGGGGTTCAGGTTCTCTCTGCTTGTTTGGTATACCATAGGAACTCATGGGGAGGGAGCAAGGGAAGCTGCAATTATATCAGAAAAAGCATAAAGAGGGCGGTGACTCTTCTGCCCATTGGCACGTTGGTGAATACTCTGAGCTGTAGCCCTGAATGAGAGAGTAAGTGCAGACAGTGGCCAACCTAGACAATCCTGTCCAATGAATGGTGAAGGAAAATCAAAATTGACTTAGAGTGAAATGAGAAAATTGAGAGTAAAACTGATTTGGAAAGTACTTCAGTACTGGAAAAGAAGTTGAATATTGGAGTTGAATATAAAAGAAGTAATGTATATTCAGACTGTAACAGGAAAGATAATGCATCTGTACTATAGTGGAATAAAGCAAGAACTTTTTTATTACTTTGCATATTTTGTGTAGAGTATCTCTTTTCCTTCCCTCTCCATGATTTCATATCTTTAATTTCCAAGACAACCTGACAGTCCAGTGAGCAGAATGACAGGAGCTCAGGAGGTTCACGTCCTCTCTGCTTGTTTGGTACCATATGAACTCAGTGGGAGGGAATAATGGAAGCTGCAATTATATCAGCAAAAGCAAGAAAATGACTCTTCTGCCCATTGGCATGTTGGTAAGTAATCTGAGCCGCACCCCTGAATGAGAGATTAAGAGCAAGCAGAGACAAACCTACAGGATCCTGTCCAGTGAAGTGAAGGAAACGTCACAACTGATTAAGAGTGATATACTTCACATAGAGACAAGATCCAGAGTAGAACTGGATTTGGATGGGGCTTCAGTACTGGAAAAGAAGTTGATATTTCCACAGTGAGCTTGATCACTTCATCACTTGACATCCCGATACTCATTGATTTGCTTGAGCGGACGCCAGTAACATCTCCACTCGTCCCTGTCACATACTAGTGTAGTCCAATGGAGTCTGCTCGCACCAAGAACATGAAGAGCCTCAAACCAATTGTTCAGGGTCTTCATGAAGAAGTCTGACCACCTCGTAGGTGGGCGGCCATGTGATCTTTTGATGTCCTGTGGAATCCCGTTGGTAACGGCTCTACTCCAGCGGCCGTCCAGTCATCTCCAAATCTCATTATGTGTCTAGCTCATCTGATTTTCAACACCTTGGCAAATGAGACAGCATCCCTGATTTTTGATCGTCGATGGAGGTCAAAACTTTACATACTTTCTGTCACTTGAGTGAAGTGTAATACTCCAAGCATAGCTCTTTCGATTCCTCTTTGGGAGACCTGATAGCATTCTCATCCTGTTTTCATAGGGCCCAGGTCTCCTAGGGATATGTTAATGCAGGAAGAACAGTGGAATCAAAGATATGTGCCTGGAGCCAGAGGTTCTTCATCCTCTTAGTTATTTCTTCGACACTCTTGAAGGCATTCCATGCTGCTCTCTTCCTCCTGCACAACTCAGGTGCCATGTCATTCGTCATGTTGAGTTCTTGATCTAAGTATACATAACTGTTGCATTCGGAGATGTTTGTTCCATTGAGAGTGAATGGAATGTCAAGAATGAGTCCGTTTCTCATGAACATTGTTTTCTTGAGATTCAGCGGAGTATGACCTTTCCACACTCACAGTGGAAGTCGGTCAGTATTTGTGCCACTTGGCTAATGTTTGGTGTTATTAGAATGATTGATGTCACCAGCGAAGTGGAGGTGGTGTAGTTTTCAACCGTCTAACTTCACTCCCATTCCTTCTCATTCCAGTCATCACATGACATTCTCGAGGGTAGCACTGAAGAGTTTCAGTGAAATGGTATCACCCTGCCAAACTCCTCTCTTGACATGGATGATCACTTCCTTGTAGAATGGTGAGATCCTGGTAGTGAATCCGTAATACAACTCATGGAGGATCCTGATGTATTGAGTTTGAACACTCTGTTTGGGTAGGGTTTCAATGACTGCTTCAGTCTCAACAGACTCAAAGGCCTTCTTTAAATCAATGAGTGTTAGACAGAGCAGCATCTTGAACTCCTGAGAAAACTCAATGAGCTTGGTTATGGTGTGGATATGATTGATCATGCAGAATCCTTTTCAGAACCCAGCTTGCTCGCATGATTGTCCTTCATCTAGTGTTCTGCCTATCCTATTCAGGATGACTAGAGTGAACAGCTTATAGACAACAGACAACAGGCAGATTGGAGCACACTGAGCTAGCAGTACCAATCCTGAAATAATTAAAAATTTTTATAACAGTTACCCTTTCAGGTCTTCCTTGATTGCCTCTCTGCACTGCTTTGCGAGCTCGGACATTAGCTTGCGGTTGCCTGAGGCATACGCCAAACCATGCCTGCGAATAAGCTCAAGAGTTTTCGAAGAAAGGCGTTTTTTTTTTGTGGCTATCTCTCTCTTGGCATTCCTTGCACATTCATGGAGGTGCTGAACCAGTCGATTGTATTCCTTTTCAATGTTGTCAACAATGGCATCTTCTCATGTTGCCGCAATAGTGCCAAAGAGCTCCCAGTTGGTGGTTGTTCTGGGAGTTATCTTTTTAAACTTTGCAGCCCTTTCTCCCCGTTCTGTGAAGTAGAATTTTGCATGAAGGAGACGGTGGTCCGATCCCGTTCGGAATTTTAGGACAACAGCGACATTGGTCAGGCAAAACCGTCAATTGAATATGATGTGGTCTATTTCATTGTGGAATCGTCCACCGGGAGACTCCCTTGTCCAACATTTAGATTCTGCCTTCTGGAACTGTGAGTTACCATGGATGGTCCTGGTTGACATGATGAACTCAGACAGTCTCTCACCCTGTTTGTTCCATTCTAGGCCATGGGTCCCGATGTGAAGTTCTTCAGCTGATCTTCTCGGTCCTATCTTGGCATTAAAATCACCCACAATGATCTTGTAGAAGGTGTTGTCTTCGTTATAGAACTTCTTCAGCTCCATGTGGAACTTCTCGATTTCTCTTTCAACATAATGAGATGTTGGTGCATAGACAACGAAGATAGAAACTGCCAGCAGTGAGCCACATCTATTCAGATGTAAAAGTCTGATTCAGGTTGTTAAGCATTCAAATGAATCAATGCTCATGGCCAAGTTTGTGTTGACAAGGCCACCGACGCCTGTGACACCTCTTTTATCGCATGTTCCGAGGAACAATTCTTCTCCAGTGTTGAAAACGACATGGTGAGATTCGTGCCTTCTTGTCTCGGTCAGACTAATGATGTTGTACTTGATGATTCGTGCTTGTACCATCAGGTCCTCGATGGATGCATCTGATGCTAGCGTACCTGCATTGAAAGTACAGACGATCATTTTTATCTTCCTTCATTGTGACAGACTAGTTTGGCCTTGAGATTTTATCGGCCTCTCCTTTCTCATCCTTCTCAGTGTTGCCATGTCGGTGAAGCCTTCAGGGTCAGGTGAAGCAAAGCAGTGCAGAGATGCGATCAAGGAACACCTCAAAGAGAGAAGAACAGAAGTGCTGGTAGAAGCGGCAGAAGCCGGGAAAAGTATTCGTAACGCCCGCCTGTCCTTCACCAACTACAAGACCAAAATGACTGCCCTCCGATGTCCTGATGGATCCATCACATCCTCCAGAACGGCAATGGAGAAGATTATCCATGACTTCTACTCAAATCTCTTTGATAGCCATGTCCACCTGCCGACATACCAAATTCCACAGGATGGATATGTCGTTCCCAATGTTCTCCCTTCCAAAATTCGACACGCCATTTCGTCAGTAAACAGCACCTGGCCCAGACAAGGTCAGACCTGAACACCTGAAGAACCTGCCGTCAGTACTCATCAATACACTGGCTCGGCTCTCCACACGCTACCTGTCTGAATGCAAGGTTCCATCCCAATGGAAAACCAGCAGGACCATACTACTGTTCAAGAATGGAGACATCCATGACATTGGCAACTATCACCCGATCTGCCTATTGTCTGTCATCTACAAGTTTTTCACTCGAGTCATCCTGAATAGGATTGGCAGAACACTAGATGAAGGACAACCATGTGAGCAAGCCGGGTTCCACATAGGATTCAGCACCATTGACCATACCCACACGATAACCAAGCTCATTGAGGTTTCTCGGGAGTTCAAGATGCCGCTCTGTTTAACGTTCATTGATTTAAAGAAGGCCTTTGATTCTGTTGAGAGAGAAGTGGTCATTGAAGCCCTAGCCATTTAGGGCATTCAAGCCCAATACATCAAGATCCTCCGTGAGCTGTATTGCGGATTCACTACCAGGATCTCACCATTCTACAAAGAAGTAATCATTGATGTCAAGAGAGGGGTTCAGCAGGGTGATACCATTTCACTGAAACTCTTTAGTGCCATCATCGAGAACATCATGCGACGACTGGAATGGGAAGGAATGGGAGTGAAGATAGATGGTCGGCAACTACACCACCTCCGCTTTGCTGATGACATTGTTTTAATAACACCAAATATCAGCCAAGCGGCACAAATGCTGGCCAACTTTGACCGTGAGTGTGGAAAGGTAGGACTACAGCTGATTCTTACGAAGACAATGTTTATGAGAAACAGCCTCATTCCTGATGCCCCATTCGCTGTCAACGGAACGACCATCTCCGAGTGCAACAGCTATGCATACCTGGGTCGAGAAGTCAACATGGCAAATTACCTGGCACCTGAGCTGCGCAGGAGGAAGAGAGCGGCTTGTAACGCCTTCAAGAATGTCGAAGAAATAGCTAAGAGGACGAAGAGCCTCTGGCTCTGGGCACATCTCTTTGATTCCACTGTTCTTCCTGCATTAACATTTACCTCAGAGACCTGGGCCCTATGCAAACAGGATGAGAACGCTATTCAGATATCCCAAAGAAGAATTTAAAGAGCTATGCTTGGAATACCACGTTTCACTCAAATGAGAGAAAGAATCCGGAGTTCTGACATCCATCAACGATCAAGAATCAGGGACGCTGTCTCGTTTGCCAAGGTGTCAAAAATCAGATGGGCTGGTCACATAATGAGATTTAAAGATGACCGCTGGACTAGAGCTGTTACCGACTGGATTCCACGGGATGTCAAAAGACTGCGTGGCCGCCCACCCACCAGATGGTCAGATTTCTTCATCAAGATCATGAACGATCGGTTTGAGGCTCTTCATATTCCCTGAGCGAATAGATGCCATTGGGCTACACTAGCATGCGACAGGGACAAATGGAGACGTTACTGGTGCCCGCTTGAGCAAATCGACGACTCATGGGAAGTTAAGTGATTAAGTGATTAAGTGATAACAGTTACTGCTAGCAGAATTGTTGAACGTTTTTATTAGAACTCATATACCAAACAGGGAGGTCTGAACTATTTTTTTTCAAAATATCTTTGTTTACAACTATTTAGAAAACCAAATAGATTTGTTTTCAAAAGCACATTCTGTGAGGTTTGTGGCGAACAAATGGCACTTCTCAGG